GTAGCTGGCATGTGAACAAAATCCCAAATCAAAAGTTTTGTCCATGTTTCCATTAAGCCTTTATTTCCAGCTGTTCCTAATTTCTGCAGAGTTCAGGTCTGTAAAATTCACTTACTCCTGTGAAGTCCAGGAAGAAGAAAGAGTCTTTCTAAGGATTTAAAATAAAAGGTTGCAGCAGTTGACAGAGGATGAAAGGCATCACCTACTCTTCCAGAAAGCCTCTTTGTAAAAAGTTGAGTCTGTCGTGAACAGTTTGTCTGTTAAAATGGTGAGAGTTGAGTTACAAATTGGAAAGAGAAGTAGGTTTCATAAGCCTTCACTTAATAGTGTGAAACTTTTTTCCTGTTTTCTTTTTTAAAAAAGAAGCTGTGAACTTTCATGCCAAGAGCCATTTCTCCATATGTCAGGAGCCTTTAAATTTATGATACATCCTTCATTCGAAAATACCATACACCATTTTACAACCTCATACAAAGTTAAACACAGAAGTAATTTTGTTCCCTCTGGAAACTGAATCAGTTCTAGTTATATGTATGTGTATATATATATAATAAGCTGCATAAGCATATGGTTATAATTGTGCATAGTTCACGATGGGAAGCAAAGAATTAATTTTTCCCCAATTAAAACTGCCAGAGAACTTTAGTAGGCAGTGTACAGTTACCAGAATGGATTGGGGCCAATACTACTTAGTTAAAAAGACACTGCTTGGAAGAGAATCTTCCACTACAAGGAGTGGTCACAGCCTCAGCCCGATGCCTCCTTCAGAGGAGACCCATAACCCTGCCTGGTTCTTCTACTGCTTCTACTGATTCCAGCATCAGGTCTTCTTGTAACTCCACAGCGGTGCTTGGTTGGATCACTGATTGGAAAAGCCTGGGCACCTCCTGTTTCAGCAAAGGTGCATGCAGGTATAAAAGCCAGAGCAAAGCATTCCTTTGTGCATTGCCAGAAAAAGCAAGTCAGGAATCTTATTTTTTCTCATCTGATGTTGCAAAGCTGTGTGGGAGTAAGGGAACCACATTCATTGCTGTCACCTCGCCTACACTGCAGGCTCTGGCTCCAGGTAACCACACTCAAATAGAAGCTGGCAAATGCACCAAGGGTGGAGGTAAACAGGGAAACAATAGAGGGAAATGATATCCCATGGAGTCCTGCATGTAAGGAATCTGTGTTCCACACACAGTTTCCCTTTCTCTTTCCATGGCTTTGTTGTAGAAAGCAGGGATATATGTAGAAAATTCCTATATAAGCAGTATTTGCTGGTAAATCCAGTAGCATTTTTAAATGTTGATTTGAAAAATAGTTTCTTCTAAATCATTGTTTGCATGTATGTTTTCCTTGCTTTACAAATGCGACAAGTCAGTCTAATCACTTCAGGTAGTTCCTCCTGCCAGTAGAAACAGTCATTCATGATTGACATCAGCTTTCACAGAAAATGTGATTCATGGGGAGAGAGGGAGAAAAAAAGACAAGAATCAGTAGAATTTCACAGAGAATAGCTATGTGACATTGGTAAAGAGACTGAATTTTAGAGGGAGTCCAGAGTGAATTCCAAGACTTTGCGATGCCCCCTGCATTATTTAAAGAGTTTGAGGAAACCTGTAGGTCACCCTTTAGATGTGACACATGGAAGTCTTCAACATCTGTTACAAAGGCGTTGAGGAAATCACAGAATATTCTGAAGTGACCCACAAGGATCATTAAAGTCCAGCTCTTAGCCCTGGCCTAGCACCATTCCCAAGAGCTGCACCAAGTGCCTGAGAGCACTGCCCAAATGCTTCTTGAACTCTGTCAGGTTTGGTGCTGTGACCACTTCCCTGGGGAGCCTGTTCCAGTGCTCTGGGGGAAGAACTGTTTTCTAATATCCAACCTAAACCTCCCCTGGCACAACTTCAGGTCGTTCCCTTGGGTCCTGTCCCTGTCACCACAGAGAGGAGATCAGTGCCTGCCCCTTCTCTTCCCCTCACGAGGAAGTTGTAACTGCAATGAGATCTCCCCTCAGTCTCCTCCAGGCTGAACAGACCAAGTGACAAGGCCTTGTAAGGCTTTCCCTCCGGACTCTTCACCATCTTTGTTACCCTCCTTTCGATCCTTTCTAACAGCTGATATCTTTTTCATGTTGTGGCACCCAGAACTGCCCCCAGCACTGGAGATGAGGCTGCCCCAGCTCAGAGCAGAGCAGGACAATCCCCTCCCGTGCCCGGCTGGCCATGCTGTGCCTGATGTCCCCCAGGACAGGGCTGTCCCTCCTGGCTGCCAGGGCACTGCTGGCTCGTGTTCACAGGGTCCCTTCCCATGGGGCTGCCTTCCAGCCTCTCATTCTCCAGTCTGTCTGTCCATCCAGGGCTGTCCCATCCCAGGTGCAGAATCCAGCACTTTCCCATGCTGAATTTCATACCGTTGGGGATTGCCCATCTCTAATTCATCAAAGTCTCTCAGCAGGGCCTCTCTGCCTTCAGGGGAGTTCAACAGCTTCTCACAGTTTTGTATCATCTGTGAACTTGCTCAGTGTCCCTTCCAGTCCCGTATCCAAGTCATTTATGAAGATGTTGAAGAGCACAGGGCTGAGGATGGGGCCCAGTGGAACTCCACTAGTGACAGGTCACCAGTCTGGTGTCACCTCATTCACTGTAACCCTTTGTGCCTGACCTGTGAGCCATCTGTTCACCCATCACATGATGTGTTGTTTATTCAGCTGTGGGCTGGACATTTTATCCAGGAGGATCCTGCGAGAAACAGTATCAAAATCTTTACTGAAATCCAGAAAGGTTACATCAACTGGCTTCTCTTGGTCAACTGCATGGGTGACCTTGTCATACAAGGAAAAAGTTTGATTAGCAGGACTCTCCTCCAATGAAGCCGTGCTGGCTGTATTGTCCTCTGATGGCTGTGTTGTCCTCCAGATGTTTTTCAATACCTTCCAGGATAATCCTCTCCATTACTTTACCAGGCACAGAAATGAGACTGACTAGTCTGTAGTTTCTGGGGTCTTCTTTCTTGGCCTTCTTGAAAACTGGGATAACATTAGCCAGCTTCCAGTCGGCTAGGACCTCTCCAGATTCCCAAGACCTCTCAAAAACATTGACAGAGGCCTTGCAATGACATCAGTAGCTCTTTAAGTATTCTCAGATAAATCCCATCAGACCACCGGAATCCAGCTGGAGCAGCAGTTCCCACACATCTTCAGAGTCGACTGGGAGTTTCTCATTCTCACAGCCTCACAGCCATGGTCCTCCAGCTCAGGGCACTGGGACACTCCTAGCTTGTCATTGGTATTGAAGGCAGAGGTAGTTGTTTCCTTTCAGAAATCAAACATACGTAACTGTTCTTAACAGTTTAGATACGTTTGCTTTGCAAGTTAGTGAAAAAACATTGTGAATTTTAGAGAAAAAAAAATTCCAAAAACTTTTGGTCAGTCCACATGTTATTGTTAATAATATCTTTAACAATCATACTTGCCATAATTTTGGAATGGAAGTTAATGAACTAATTATTCCACTAAAATGTATTTTCTATTTTGAACATTTTTGTCTGTGGATGAGTATTATAAATTAAGACTATTTAAATTTCTTATAAATTTGCTAGTATCATTCCAATGACCTGGAGGATTTGGGGTATTTTTAATAACATGTCTGACATGTTCACATCTGCTGTAGTAAATGTAGGAGATCTAGTTTCCATATTTAGCTAATGTAAAAATTATTGTGTAGGCAAAGAAGGGGAAAGTCATTACACAGGGATTTTTTCAAAGAAGCTATTAGTTCCTAATTGCATTGCTCATTTGAAACCATAAAGGCTTACAGTGGTGGGTAACTTACTGAAAGGTAGCTCAGTTAAACACATTAATTTTATCTGGAGTTCAAAATGCTTGTTTTGGTTTTGGTTGCTTAGAGCCTAAAGTACAGGCAGTATATTCAGATTCTTTTAAGGGTCTGATTTTTTTCAGGATTGTTCATTTTGAAGGTAAGTTGCTGTATAGATTTCCCTAGAACAGCATCTCTGAGATTTTGTCTAACCAGACATCTTTGGTTTTACAGAGCCAAATGGTTTTTATGCTGATAGGTTTTTTTGGACAGCTCAAGAGACAGACCTTTAATCAAATACAAAATATTAATATTCAAAGCATTTTGTCTTTTATAAAATATGATCCCAGACAGTCTGGCTTGGAATCAGACAGAGCAGATGGGATTTTCTGTTGCTTTACCAAGGACAACTCTTTCTTTCCAAATTTGATACAAAAGAAGGTGAAAAGCTGCAGGAGAACTGTATTTTGTAGAGAAACTTACCCCTAGACAGAGGTTTAGCTTTAAGACTTGAACTCAGGAGGGCTTCTTTATGCAAAGAAAGATTCATAGGTAAGTTTTGATATGATTAATGCTTTGTTGGCTCCTAGGACATCTCAGGTAATTTTTTAATAAACCTTTCAAAACATTAGTGAAGTGAAGAAATCTAGTAATGTCTAATTTTGGTCTCTTTTGCCTGTTAACGAGACAGATTCTTAACTAACAGCCTCCAGTCTTTCTGTTTACATCCTTCAAAACCCTTTGTAGCCACGATTCATATTAGGTACAAGGACACCCACTTATGAGTCAGAACCAGCCAGAGAATATCCCACCGCTACAGCTGACAGACCAGCCCCACATGTCAGCACTGGGAACCTAATGAACCAAGAATCTGCTCACTGCTCCCCGAGCAGAAGAGTGAAGGGTGACTTTGTGCAAATGGTTACAAATGGCACAAAGGAAAATGACCAAATCCAGAAGGTTAAAAACAATGTAGAAGCAGAAGATGAAAGATTATGTAGCTGTATAATTAAATTTCTAAGCTTTAAAATGAAAAAAAAAAATTAAGTCTTCCCTGTTGCTTTGATGCAATGGGGTGTGAGTGGAAAATACATGTACCATGTGGTTTTTTGGTGTTTTTAGTTGTTCTCTCCTGCTTCCTTCCCAGTCAGTCCAGGGCCTTCATTGTCTTAACTTCTACTTCCACTTTTGCAGGTGAGAAGCAAAGGTTTGGCTATGACCGGTCAGGATATGATGTGGAGGAGTCTGATGGTGGCGATGAGGATGAAAATGACAACGAGGACGATGATGAAGACAGCCAGGCTGAGTCAGTGCTATCCACGACACCCTCGGTGACTGCCAGCCCCCAGCACCACCCCTCTCGCCACGGCCTGCAGGATGCCGCCAGCACCGACGACGACATCAGGCTTCCAGACTGCTTCACTGGGGCTCACACGGACTCGATGGATGGTCTCCCAAAAGCACTGCTGACCAAGATGACTGTCCTTAGCACAGTGCAGTCGGTCAGCAGGACTTCCAGGTCGCCAGCAGAGTCCACCCATCAGGAAGCACATGAGGAGAAAGCCCAGGAGAGAGGAGTGGATCCCTGCGGTGCTGATGCGGCACTGACGGACATCGCTCCTGCATCTCCAGGTCGCCAGATGTCTGTGGATTACCCTGATACAGATACAGCCTTGGGCCACTCCTTAGTATCAACAGCAGCTCTTACAAAGGTAGGAGTGTCTAAAACCAGAGAGAGAGTAGGATTTTAAGTCCTCCTAAAAAGATCTTTTTGGAGATTTTTCAAAGATGAAAATGTTTGCCTTTCCCTTCATTCTTAGAATTCTGGGTGATGAGTCTTTCAGAAGAGTTAAATTTAATCCAAGCACAAATATGTAGGACTCTAGACACAAGGATGTTGTAGGAGCATAGTTTTTCAAATTCTTTAATTTGATTGTATTCTTCCTGAAAGGTTTAATTGTAATACGGTCATTTCAGCTGATGTTTGGAGCTGGTAGGTTGTATTGCAAATCAGAAGGAAATAACAAATATGTGGAATGAACATGTGGTGGTGGTTACGAAGTTTTCAGGTGAAAGTGATAGAATTCCATAATCATTTCACTCTGAAATATGATGATACAATCATTGGTAATTCCAAAGGGAAATTAATCTAGTCCCAAAGCTTTTTGCCTTATCACACAAAAAAAAGGTGCAATTGTTTATCTATACCCCAAATATCCTTAATAGTAGAATTAGAAAGTTCACCAGATGTTCAAGGAAGCTAGGAGATTGCCCTTGCACAATAACAGAAGGAGAGATGAACACAGGACTGAGACCTAAGTTCTCAGTGCTTTTAGCTTTTCTCCAAGCTGACAGAAGATTTTAATCAGAAAAGGATGGATTTTGCCCATGCACGTGTTAGACACACGGCTTTTCAAAGCAGTGTGCAGGAGTATGAGGTCAGTCTGTGTGCAGGTCTGTGTGAGCGTTCAGTAGGTTTGGAAACTGTTTTTTTTTAAAAACTGTGCCCATGAAATCACAGAGGGAAGTGGCAGGTGATGAGCCTTTTTCAATTCAGGAATGGCTTTAATGGGCTGTGGTGGGGACAGTATACATCACTTACCAGACTGACCCTAAAGATATCTTTTGGAAGTTTTGAATTCTTGCTACAGACCATGAAAGCATTTGAGCTTTTCAGAGTAATGCTCAGAAAAATGAAATGCAAAATAGTTTAATTAAAGGAGTAATCAAAGCACTGCCTTCCCCATGATGAATGCAATATTTAGAAATACTTTATAGAACTATATAATTATTTAGGTTGGAAAAAAAATCTTGAGATCATTGAGTCCAAGCCTAAACCTAGTTGCATGCAGTTATTGAAAAAAAAAATAGCAGAAAATTTTCAAAAGGATAAAAAGAAAAAATTTCAATCTGCTTTAAGTACTTAGTGGCGTGGTTTTTTCTTTGAAAATTTACACTACTGGACTTATTTTTTTACACAGTTCAAGATGGCAAACTGTTGACATGGAGAAAGTAAAAATTATTGCTGCATTCAGCACAAGCTCATCACTGCTTGTAGGAACTGTGAGTTCATGTGGCAAATGTAAATTGGAGCAAGTTTGTATTGTGACAGAGAATAAAATGGAGTGGTCTCTGATCACTGTATATGCCTGCCATAAAATGGGTAGGGTCCTAGTATTTGGAGTTTAGGTTCCATTGTTGCCAAGGGCTACCAAAAGGACATTTAACTGAGTTTACTCCCTCATTAAATAGAACTGAAGCCTCAAGTAAATATTAATGCAATTAAAAATGTTGAATGGTGTTCATTTATTTAGCTCTAATAATTGTCTACATTAATATATTAAAAAAACAAGGCATGTATGTAATACAAGGAAGTAATTCCTTTCCAGATTTTCTTTTCCTTTCCCAGACCAAAAGAAGCATTAGCCATGTGTCTTCAGTGCTTAATCCACAGTCTGTTCTTATTGTGAATGGCTGTGGATCCTGGTTCTTGCAGTCAAGAAGTCAGCACAGCTCAGGAAGGCTGTTGTACATTCTTTCAAAAGCATCCATACCAGTTTATCAAGATCTCTTGTGAGGTGTCAGTTCTGAGGAAGATGTTGACTTCTTTCTCACACCCATCTTCTCATTTAGACAGGTCAGCACTGCCTAGCCAGTTAATCATATTCTCCCTTTGCCAATACGTTTTTTACCAGTGGATTTCAAAAGCATTTCTGTCCAGTTTTGAGTTTTTTTCCTGCTCTTGAGAATTTTTGAGAGTTAATACTGTAAAAATTAAGGGCACACCAGTGTGTGTATGTGTGTGATGAATGTGCTTGAAACAAAAAGGTAAGCATGAGATTGCAATTGCACTTTCAGACTACTCATTTTAGGAGGTTCTAGGAAAGGAGTTGCAAGCCTTGGTCAGTAACAGGCTGTAGGAGAAAAAAACGGAGGATAGAAACAAAATTATAAATTCAGGCGTGTGCACCAAATAAATCACTGATAAATAAATCACTAATAAATCACAGCTGAGGCAGCAATGGGATGTGGGTCCCACATCTCACTCCAGTATCCACCCATCACCTCCACCTCTGCAGGAGCTGTAGTTGTCAGCCATCTCTTGTCATTGCATACCCTGTCTGCCACATTAGAAGCACCTATGACAAATGTGCCATGATGCTGCCTCTGCCTGCCAGAGGCTGTAATGCCTTCAGGAGAGGAACCCAGTGCATCAAAAATGCCAGCTTATGCTTATTTAACCATCTTGCCTGGGGTGATTTCCACATAAAACAGTTCTCAAAATCCTTCTCGCCACTTAAAACACACGTGCAAAAGAGATTCAGCAATGTATTTGAGCACTAGTGTTTGAGAGAAATTAAGCAAGGGTAATTAGGAGAGGAAAATGCAATTAGTGGGTGAGGAAGGAGAAGGAAAAAGAAAGGAAGGAAAACAGTTCATTGTTTAAGCTGAGGACTATATACTATGAACCATTTTGTTGTTCTTTCTTAAAAGGGGGCATGGGAAGCACTCCCAGCTCCCTTGTGTTTTCATGTCACTGAAGGGCAGCGATGGCTGCCACATTAACACGCCTGTGTTGTTCTCTCCCAGAGCATGCCCTCCATCAGCTCCCCGTCCTCGCCGGCAGACCAAAGCGTGCCGACGACGGCACCATCACCCTACACCGAAATCCCGGAGGAGAAGCCGGCTGCCGAGCCGAGAGCTCCCCAGACTCACCTCTTCAGCCACCTGCCTCTGCACTCACAGCGGCAAGCCAAGGCTCCCTACGGCATGGTGCCGGTCGGGGGCATCCAGGTGGTCCCTGCCGGCCTGGCCACCTACTCCACCTTTGTTCCCATCCAAGCAGGGCCAGTGCAGCTCACTATCCCAGCTGTGAGCGTGATTCACAGAACTACCAGCGCCCTTGGCGAGACGGGCGGCACGGCCGCCGGCACCGCCACAAATCCTGTGGGAGTCGCCGAGGTGAACAGCATGGTGCCGTGCATTCCCATCGGCCAGGTGAGCATGCCGGGCATGCAGGGGCTCGGCACGCCCAACCTGCAGCCTCTGCCACCGCTGGGCATGGAGACAGTGAACATCCTGGGCCTGGCAAATACCAACATCGCCCCGCAGATGCGCCCTCCGGGAATTACCCTCAATGCCGTGGGCCTCCAGGTGCTGACGGCTGGTGCGGCTCCGCAGGGCACCCCCAGCCCGCAGGGACACCTTCCCGGCCTGCAGATCCTCAACATCGCCCTGCCGACCCTCATCCCCTCCGTCAGCCCCGCCAGCACCGAGGGGCACGGAGCCTCCGAGGCACCCACCGCAGGCTCCAAAGCCGGCGAGGTCCAGCTGGAGCCAGCTGCTGTCGGCTTCCCCGCAGCCGAGACCGGCCAGGCCGGCCGGGATGCTTCTCCTCAGGCAGCGGCTGGCGGCCAGCGGTACGGCGGGAAGAGCCATCCCGAGCCCACCCCGCTGACCAGCCCCGCTGGTCCCGGGAAAGCTGACCCTGAAAAGACGGACCTCGCGAACCCCAGCAAGCCAAAGCGTGACCTCCCTGCCCTCCAGGTGAAGAGGGCTGCCCCAGCAGAGCCCCGCTCCAAGGTGAATCCCAACGCGTTAACCAAGTCCCCGGTCCACCGAACTGTCACCCCGGACAGACAGGTACCCAGGCCAGCCGCCCCGCCCCAGCGGCAAAACACGCTGCAGTTTAGCGATGGCAGCAGTGACGATGAGGATAGACTTGTAATAGCGACCTAGTTTTTGTTTTTCATTGTGTTTTTATTTTTAGGGTTTTTTGGGTTTTTTTTATAACACCTGCAGGTTTCTTTGCAAACCTTCCTTTCCTTAAAGCACATTTTTCTGACACAAACCCATTACTAATCTTCGTGCAATCATGAACTCTTGACCAATAATTGTTGTTTCTTGTCAGCTCCAGCCATTTTTGTACATGTTGTATAGACGATTGTGCCTTTTTGGAGTTTTATGTTTAGAAACCTGTACAGATTGTTGAATATATATATATAAAATATATATATATAAAATATGTATAATAAAACCAGGTAGTTGCTTGTGTTTAGTAAGTAAACATCCTATGTCAGATAAATAAAGGATTAAATTATATGTTGCACTGTTAAATGTAAATTTCTATGGCTGTGGGACAAAGTTTCTGTGTACAGATCTAGTATGTAAAACTCCATATTTATTGTATCCATATTAGTCTTGGAAAAGGGTCTGTCCATCTTTCTTGTGTAAGACGGTAGCTTTACACTTCAAAGAGAAATACAGTATCTGTGTTACAAAATATTACAGTAAAATTTTGTTTACTGACTTTACCATTGCTTATGTTGTGCCTTCTTGATGCAGCCCGGTAGCCAGAGAGGTGCTTGACTCATTCCTTTCAGTGCCCTTCCAGCTGGTTCAGCTTGAAGGGATCTGGTGGTGGTAAAAGCCCCTGTGGTTTCACCTGCCATGGGAGAGAGAGTAACTTATCAGGCTTTACTTGGAGTAAAATCTTCCATTTCAAAACATCCAGCAATTGTAGAGTGGGATGGGAGTCCCTCACCTTTCTGTAGAGCAAGCATCCATCCACCTCGTGGTTTTTTCCTACCTAAAATTTGAAGACTTGCCTGAGGGGAAATGGCAAAAGGGTCAAGATGAAATATTTTTTTATTTGTAATCTTGAACTATAAAGCCACTTTTTACTGACATTAAAATGTTGATACACAAGAAAGGAATAATTCTTTGTGTGTTAATTGCAAAACGTGCCATAGAATTGGTGAAAATGCCACTGCTGTAATGAGGATTTGGCATTACTGATTACCATCAACCTCTTACAAGATTGCATTTCAGGAGATCTTCATTTACAGACAGACAAAGCCATTTTCTCCCTAAATACAACTTTGTCTTATTCATGCAGGGAAAAAAGGGTCTAGAGGTTTTACACATACAGTTAATGTGCCATTGTAACAGCAAACCTGTCATACTGGGCATACAAAACATGGATGGATCACGGAATAATGAAATTTAACACTCCTCTGTTTGCACATAGTGAAAACAATGTAAAATTATCAGTGAATTGTCAAGGTGTTCCAACTATGGCACGAGACACGTCTGACAAGTTACAGGGCTACACATTCCTAGAAGTTTCAAATTGACTTGGGATTCATGCTGTACTTTTTAAGTAGAGTTGGTTTCCTGCTGTGTCCTTTTATCACATTGTTACAGAAGTTTTTATAACCCCTTTAATAGCCAAATTCCAGTAGGAAACTGGAAGGTGTAAATTAAAAGCATGATCACCTGTATGGAATTAACAAGGATGAGCACATAGAAAACAACTGGAAGAAAAGGACGGGAAGCAAATCTGGTAAAAAAAAAGGGAGTGAACTTGAATGTGAGCTGGGCTGCACTGTTCACAGATTAATTTCTGTATCCATCTCAAGGAAGTAATTCATACCTTGCACTGCTCATATTCAAAAGCAGCACTATCCTAGATCCATATTATACTTTACACTGGCTTTTGTACAGTACTCACATTGTACTCATTACCTTATTCCATTACGGCGTGTTGTAAAACTGTAGGCGATGTTGAATGAGCTTTATTAACTTCCAGAAAGAGCACTTCAGTAGCAGAAAGCCATTTCTATTACTCGTGATTATCTGGCAATTGTACTTATCTAGCAATTAGAAACACACACACTAGAAAGGGGAAATTACTCCCGTCTCTGACATGAATGTGCAGAGCCTCGCTGAGGGCCCGAGCACCTGAACCACCAAGCACTCTCAACTCACATTGAACTTAATGAGAGTTAAGAGTCCTCGGCTCCCCGCAGCGCCGGACTTCAAATTTGTGAGTGTCTTATGTGCAAGCCCTGTGTGAAGTGTCACTGTGCATTTGTATGTTCTTTTATAAGTGTAGTAGTGGTGTCAACGTGTCTTGTACCATTGTCATACCTGTGTGAAATTACCCCAACCAGCCAAAGCTAGATCCGAAACGTTGCTGTGTTACATGTGCTTTGAGAGCCTGAAGCTTTTTCTAGTAGAATCAGGTGATGGTTTGCAGTTAATGAACTCAAGGAATTTTGAATTAGTTTTAGCTCCTTTGAAATGGACACCAACCAGAAAACTAGAACTGTGATAATTAATTTGAGCATATTTGTCTAAAGCACGACCAAAAAGAGATGACATAATCAGATAGCTTAACAGCAAAGTAAAACTATCTCCAAAATTTTGAATACCATCAACAACTTATTATCATTTCCCTGAGTTTTATAAGGCAGCAGTGGGTAAGGAATTGCTGTTGCACATGCCCCTAAGTCCTGATTTTACTAAACTCCAGAGATTTACTGTATACACATCTTAAATATTTACTTGATGAGCAATTTGTGATGCACTCATACTCTGCTCAGAATTAATTCCGGGAAATCTCCAATTTAACAGAAAATTCACCCTGGTGAATCAGGTGATCTACATCTGTCTTTTCTATTCTAGGTGTTTTGAAGACATCAAGGGCAAGAGATGGCAGCATATCTTGAAGATTAAAAATGACATGACAACAGATATGTCAAAAAGAGGAATGTTAAGACATGTCATTTGGTAAGTTCGTAACAGGACAACAGGGAGAAAGGACCAAGAGTGGGTACGTAAGGCCCAGAAGATGGGAGTTGCTTCTGGGGATGTAAAGCTGCAGGTCAAGAGATCTGAGAGGACAAATACTGAATCATCACTTACCCAGGCAAAGCAGATAAGCCACATTTGAAGCAGGAACTCTACTATGAGCAGGTAGTTTCAGATGTATCTAATGTTCACATCAAGGTTGTGAGGAAATCACAGTTTTCTAAAAGACTGTGGTCCTGAATATTACACTCTTTCCCTTCCCTCTAGGATATTTCCAAATGGATATTCCTTGAGTTGCCTCTACACCTTGTGCAGCAAGAAGAAGAAACAAACTAGGAGTGTGACCAGACCTGAGAGAAGGTTAAACTCTGTATCTCTCTTCTGTTAGTGCCTGTAACCAACATCTATATATATATATATGTCAGCACACACGGGTGTCCTGCATGAGCACAAGCCTGTGACTACTGCATTAGCAATTACATTTTCATTCAGAATTAATTCCTTTTGTCTTAAATTGTGTTGTATCTTTTATTGTCTTGTCCAGAGTCATCAGTGATGGGGAAATCATGTTCCCCTTGCCACAAGGATCCTTCTGGTCAAAGCAGTAGCAAACGTTTGAGAGACCTGCCGGTGCAGGATTAGGCTGCATTTCAGATGGTGTGAATTACCACAGCTGAACTGGAGTAAATAACACCGGGCTGTTTACTCAGGGATCAGTTTTTAACGACTCTGTCAGACACCCTCTGGCAAATCCAGCACAGCTGTTTAAACAATAAAAAAGCCAGAACAAGTGTTGCTCCTCAGTGTACCCAGGCACATTCTGGCATCTTCTCACAACCTATTCCCATCAGGAGGATGCAAGCAGGTGCCAGTTAAAGCCTGGGTACAAATGCAGCCAGAGTACAGACACGGCACAATCAGCTTCTGTGGGATCTGTGCAGATGCTTCCCTGTGATCTGCATAAGCCCTCTCTAGAAGAATTGACCAGTGTCCTGTAGCTCTTTTCAATTTTTCAATCTTCCTTGGTTTCTCATTGCAGTACATGATGTTTGCTGGTGACATGGGTACCTGATCTTGGAGGCAGCATGTCCATATAATAATAAAAATAATGGGTTTGGAACATGAACTCTATTAAATGTGTCTGTGTTTCCCGTTGGGGTTTTAATAAGCTACAGCATGGCCTACCTGTCACTTCTTAGGTCAAGAACTAAACCAGAGACAGGCATGTTCAATGTACCTGGCCTCAGATCTCTTGACTTGTAGCATTACATTCCCAGATGCAACTCCCAACTTCTGGACCACAGCTGAAATAACACCAATTTTGTAGGTGCAGGGATGCTCTGCCCTGCTTTGGTTACTGCTGCTGTATACACCTTTGCCCCTTTTCTTTCTCAAGTAACTTGCTGAGCTTCAGGTTGCTGTAAATTATGCCCTGAGGCTGAAGCAGCCCACAGTTGGTCCATATCAGCCAGTCCCCTGCCAGAAAGTCTGACAGCAGTGTTTTGCATACAAATTCAAGTGCCCATCAAATGCATTTCATCTCAGACAACTTACGTAGGCTGAGCACAATATGGGCCACCTCAAAGCCAGAGATGTACCATGAAACAGACATACCATGCCTTACACTTGGCTAAACCACTTTGTATGGTTTCTTAACAGATTTATCTTGCCTTGAGTTTACTGACATGTGGTTAAACAGAATATAAAATTAATTTGTCACTATATAACTTCATCCAGAAGTTCTCATTTTTTGCAAGATAATCCTCACTAAGCTTTCATAAACATTGTAGTTTAAACCCATAAACTGCCTTTGAAACATGTGTTTAACATTGGGACAGTTTCATCAAAACAAAAAATCCTCAGTTTTAGCATGAGTGACTTGCCAAGAGTCATGGAAACCAAACAACCCACAAGTGAGAGTGCTCACTCAAGATACCTTCAGCTGACTTATCTGATGGGCCACTGCTTCAGTTGCTTTGGAAAGATCTTCTGAGACCAGTATGACCATCTTATAGCAGGGAATCCTTTCCTTGCTTTCCTGGTTTTTCATGCAAGCAGAAAGTGTCACCCATCTTAGGTGGCTTCTGACCAGTCTCTAATTGTAAATGTTACACTATGAATGACTGAAAGAAACATGGCTAGAATTGTCTTCCCATGTTTTTAGGGAAATTTCTGTTCCCTGTAAGGAGTCTCAGATCGTCTTTAAAATTGATACCTAAAACCAAAGACTTAACACTATTTCTGGCTCATATCTTCGAGAATAAGACCCCTGTCTTAGATCTAGACTGGATTGTTCATTCTAAGTTACTGACTTAGGGTGAAAACAAGCTACTTTAAAGTACTTCAGATTGATTATTAGGTAATTTTATATGGAATGTTCGTGGGTGGATGAGCATACAGCAACAAGGGTGTAACAGCCTGTAATTCATTGATTTGATGTTCATGTTTCGTTCCAGGAATGATAAATTACAAAAAAGAAAGAAAAAAAAAAAAGGAAAACAAAAAAAAAGTGGTGTTGCCATTCATGTTTGTTACATTTCTCCTCTTTATACTGAACAGACTGCTCAAAATGTTAGGAGGTGACTGGTGATTTTCAGATATTCCATGAGATCTGAGGAAACCATGCTAGCTGAAAGATGGCAAGGCTTTACATTCCTATGGTTCAGTCATGGAAACAAAACCTAGAGTTCTAAGATGAGTCAATTAGCTAGGCATGCTTAGTTTTCTTTGGTAATTGTAGGCTTGTTTTCCCCAATAAGGTCAAATGTTAAGGCTTGTTTGGTTTTGTGGCTCTGCTCTTTAGTGTATTTGAAATCCATTACCATGCTGAGGCATTTGTGCTGGAAATGGGCCAGCTGAAGGCTGTTTGTAAAGTCAAATGCCCCCAGCATTTCCTCTTTTTGTTGAGTTTAGGCAGCTACAACATCCCTTTGGGCTTCAGAATTTCCATTTGCAGGTCGTTCAGGTCTAAGGTGTTTTGGTGTTGGTACCTAAATACCTTAGGGTTGGATTTTTCCTTCTGAGAAGGAGAGAAATGTGACACAGTTCCAGCTGTATAATGAATAGTAAGCTCTCCATTAGAATCACGGACCACTAAGAGCCATTTGCCACCTCATCATCTTCCTGCTCCAGATCTAGGTGTGGAAGTGAGTTCAGAGCCCACTTGTTGGCACAGGACTCATCCTCATTGCAGCCCCACTTTCACGAGGGGCTTTTCACGGGGTGCCCATGGAAGGCAAGAGTAATCCCTGGGCATGAACATGCAGTGAGGGACACAGCGTGGAGGGAGCATCACCAAGAACATCCACCCACCTCCCAGGAGCACAAGGACAGGGTGCACCAGTAGGGATTTTGCTGTGCAGAAGCAGATTTTGAAAAAGGAATTTGTCATCATTGCAGGAGGGTTGGAATAGATGACCTTTAAAAGGTCCCTTCCAACTCAAACATGATTCTGTGAACAGTATCTACCCAGACCTGAAGCACTTGAGTGGAAAGCCATCATCTTGAGACTTAACCCCTCCCATCCCTTATGATCAAGGAAAATCAAGTCAAAATGAAGGATTAAAAGGCATCTTTTGACAGAAATTTTTGACTAATCAGAAGGAATTTTGACAAGCCAAAATTCCCTGTTTGAACAGCAAATTACTACATCCCCTAATTCTGCTAATGTTCAGACGTTCCCCAGCCTGAGCAGCTGCCCTTGTGGCACCCAGCTGTCCTGCACAGGATCAAACAAGGTAGTATCCTTCAGGAACACTATGTCCAGAGTGATCATACTGTTTGTACAGCCCAATCACAAGGCCATCATCCTGAACACAGGAACACAAGGAGGAGGAGATGGTGCTGCCCATTTCTTCTTCGCTCAGCTACTGACACCGCAGTGGTGGCAGTCTCTGCCACCAAGAGGTGCCAGGGAAGATGCAGTCACCATCCTCTAGTGCAGTACCAGCTCCCTCCTCATCAGCCAGGGACTACACAGCAAGGGAGTTCATGTACCTCAGGTCTCTGGGTGAAAGGACACATCCATTTGTTACACCTCCTTCCCAGGAGGCTGCTCCAAGCTCCTGTGCTCTGGCCAGGCCAGCTGCAGGCACTTGCTGGCAGAAATGAGGCCAGGAGAGGAGAAAGAGGGAAAGATAAACCAAGCTGCAAGACAGAGCAAGCCAGGGAGAGCATGGCATTGTAACCAGGCTGTTGGGTGGTTTAGGCGCAGGAAGGCAGCTGTTGTATTTCAGACCTGTTACCCAGTGTTAGGTGTGTCCCTAGTTTGCAAAAACAGTCTAGGTGCCAGAACAGAAGCAAATGTTGAAACAGTGCCTCTTTGCAAAACAGAAGTCATGTTTTCATCTGGACACCAGACAGTTTTGCTCCACCAAAAAATCAAGTGGGTGGTTCAGAAACCATTTTTTACAGTTAGAGGTTTAAATTGTGTTTCTCTCTTTTTTTATTCCCATACCTATAATGATCTGTGGCACTTTTCTTATTTACAGTGTTTCAGAGCAAGAGCTCACACAGCTAATGCTGATTAATTCTGCTGGACTGGGCAGCTGGCTCCCCTGTGGATATCCTGTTTTCCTGTGAATCATCGCTCCTTCTTGAGACATCCTCCAACTCAGATCAAAGGTCCTGAATGTATTAGATATGAAGACATCAGACAGCTCGAACAAATTAGAGAAGACACACACAAAGAAACGTGTCCCAGCTTCTCCCGCCTGTCCTGCTGAAAACTGGCACAGTGAACACAATCCTAAGCACTTGTCATAAAAAGTAGAATGACAAAAACTAGAAAAATGGAGAGAGGCTTTGGGAATGTCGGTTACCCAAAGACTTTTGCAAATTGCCCTTTCTAGATATTTGCACTTTTGCACTTACTTAGTTCTCCCTTGCAGTTGGGAACTCCTCAGGCTAGCTCCTCATCTGATGGAAAATGACATCCATGAACTTCCGCAAGACCTGCACCAACTGCGTCAGCAGAGGACTTGGGACTATCCCTTTAAGCACTGAGCCTTGCCTACAAACACAAAAATTAAAGGAACTTGAACACCTGTGGTCTGTTTTTTTCAAGTTTATGTAGTCTGCTGCATCCTCCATGGTTTTATCCAGTTTTCCATACAGCTACATGAACAACTGAAAGGGTCCTGTACCAGTGAAATGCCAAAACCTGAGGTCATGAGGTCAAACTAGATTATCTTAATAGTCCCTTCTCCCCTTGCAATCTTTGCACACAGGTTTTATCTGATAAAGGAGATAAAGTCTTTATTTCAGTAACGTTTGATCTTGAACATTACACAAATAATTAGTCTTTTAAGTTTCTGAGCTTTTTTCAAAATAGAATTTTAAACTCTCCATTTAATGGATGCCTTTTAATCCTTATGTTTAAGTGTGAGAGCCATGCTTGATCTAAGATGACAGACAATGTGTTTGGATAGTCAGAAGGCCATTTTTATGGGAGTGTTAGAACAATGCATTGTGTTTCTTCAAGAAACTCTTCCTCCAATCAGTAGAAAGAGCTGGCTGAGGGACCAGAGGACAGTCTTTTGCTGTCATTAAGCTCGTATCAAAGGAAGGTAGATTGTGCCACTCTTACATCTTAGAGTGGCCCTGTGCCAGGCCATTTTTTAGTCCTGGACTTCTAACTCTTCTTCTATCCTTCTGCATCTGGAGGGAGAAAGAAACACTTTTAACCTTATGCACTGTGAATACTCACTTGAAGGCAGTGGAGGAAAGAACACCCAACAGGAATACACTCTGCAAACACTCAGCAAAATCATTAGATCTGCATATTCTTAATCACTGAGGTCTTGGCAAAATAAAGAGCAGTGGTTTTTACCCAAACTGTAGTTTGTCCAAGTCCCTGGGGGTGGGGTTCAGCTGTTTATGTTTTCTTTGACAAAAAATGTCTTCAAGGTTTCTTGCCTCCCAAAAAACCCCTAATGTGGGAGTATCGGCATATGGCAGGGTAGTGGGAGGCACATGAGCTGAGCCCAGAGTTTGCCCCTTGATGCAGCTCAGGCAGCCATCAGGGCCCCTGCAACCACACAAAGGAGGTGGGACTGGGTTTGAAGGAATGAGGGCCAAATGACATGAAAAATGTTAACCTTCTGCATAGAAACAGAAACCTCATTGCCCATTCCTGAGGACAAATGGGTAATCCTTTTTTATTTTCAGTATCAGTGGAATTTCTGTTGTTTTTGCGACCTTCTCCGTTTTAATTGGACCCATGTATGCAATACACATGTACTTAGAAATGCACTGGAAATAGTGATGGATAACATCATTTTCCAACATTTGGGAGAGGAGGGGGGCGATTGTTGGTATGTCCAATCTGGAAAGCAGTAGGAATACCACAGCATATGCTTGAAACCTTGCTAAGCATCTAGGACATTAAACCAGATGCTTCAACTCCCCCAGATTCCTCCCTGTCAGTTCATCTGGGGCAGTGATGAGGGAGCTGGGGACTGCTGGCTTTTTACCCAGTGCTACCTTGTTCCTCAAAAGGGTTCAGACTCTTACCTCCTCCTCCTAGGGACCATTTACTGTGCACACCTTGTGTCCTGTATGTGCACGGCAACGCAATTTTGTCAGGCCCATCAAGTCATAAAATGCCTTGGGTTAGAAGGGACTTTAAAGATTATCTCATTCAACACCCCCTGCCACGTGCAGGATTGCCCCCTCTTGTGGAATACTGACCAGCCAGTAAAGCTGTCAGAATAATGATGATGCCAAACCATCACTTCCCCGGGGGAAGTGAAGCTGGAGGTTGCGTGTGTCTCACTAGCAATTATCTTGTGACTTTCTGGCACAGCATAAAAAAGAAAGCTGTCTGAGAAGGGGTTGGAACTTGATGTTTTTGGAAGGTGATGTGAAATACTTTTCAAATATTTGTTTGGGCCAGAAAATTAAGACAAAGGAGATAAAGCCTGGCCTCAGCACTGTCACAAGCAGTCTCCTACTGCCTTCAGGAAGGCCAGGATTTCACTCATGGATTTTTAAGGCTGGCACAGAGACTGTATCTTACAACAGAGCATGGGCATTCCTGGCACTGGGGATTGCTGCTAATGACACGGGAAAGTGATTTTTTTTATTTTTCTTTTTTAACCTGGCATTGCTCCTTGGAGCAAATTAAAGTCTGATACATTCACATTGCTATGTGTCATTAACCCAGACACCTACTGCAGGGCCTAAAGCTTGTGGCTGCTGGAGAGATTAAATCCTACTAATGCGCTTTTCCTAACACACTGAGGGAATCTGGAGTCTCTCCTTTTGAAGCTGACTTGCTATTTTGACTAATTGCTTCTGGTAACAGTTAATAGCATTTTGCAAAGGCACTTCATCTGCTGACAGCAGATTGATGTAAGGAAGGGACACAGTTCACATTTCCAAAGGGAGCATCGGGAAACCCATTACCAGCTTCATTAATCTGTTAATAATAAAATTAAAGTACAAATAAAATGTGACAAATTGAGTTCTGTTGTGAAAGTCACTTTAACAGGAGGCTCTGAATAAAGGTCAAAACAGACTCTGATTTCTGCTGTGTTCTAATAGTAGAATCAGAGGAGAGCATTGTAGAAACACTGTAATTAATCTGGCAATACTATAATTGTCCCCAAATAATACAGAGTTTGAGGAGTGTTGTTTTTTTTTTCCTTTTTCCTTGAGAACATGTACAAAACCTAGAACATAAAGCTCAGTCACACAACATTTAAGTGCTAATCCAATTTCACAGGAAGCTTTCCACAATGTAGGTATGGTAGACTTACCCTCACTGCCTGCCTTCTTGTGGCTGCTATATCAGTCAAAACTCAAGTTTACCCAGCACAAGGGCAAAAGAGAGAAGAAAAGCCCTGCAGATGTAGATCTTCTAACAGCTGTCAAAGAAATGAGCCTGACATTGGAAACAGGCTTCACCAGAGACAATAAGCCAGATCAGACATCCCTTTTCTGGCAAGGATGGCACTGGCTTGCCTACCTTGTTTAAAATAAAAGTGGATTTTCTTTTAGGGTTATCCCCCAAACCTATTGGTACCCCCTGCATGGCCCTTCCTAGTCACATTCTAGGCCAGCAGGATATTTTAATCTAGACTCTAGTCTTAAATAATCCTCCTGCTAGGACCTTCAGGTAATACTGAAGAAAAAAAACTTCTAAAAATGAGACTGATTCCAGTCTCTCCAAGGCAGAGTGTGAACAGGTCCTGTAGAAAAATATCCAATTTATCAAATTCCTTCTTATTACTGCTGAGCAATTGCCCCAAAAACAGTCAGTCACAGAGCATAATTTGGAGACACAGCTGCAGCCTGGCAGAGCAGCCTCTGCTGGGAGCACCTGAATCAAAGGCATGCTATTAAAGAACCCAGCCAGGCAAGCAAATACATAAACATGTTAATGTGAAGTGTTTGAGGAGAATGGCTCATTAAGTCAGGCAGAATAACAGTACAGAAAACTAATAGCTCTATTTTAAAAATCGGCAGGAGGAAAAGGAGAAAGTTGTCCTTTTGTTTTATGCAAGCCAAAAGGAGTCTGTAGAGCCTCCTCTTCTCCAGTCATTTCAGGCATAGTCCAGACACTGAAGGGACCAGATTTCCAATTTGAGAAGCACCATATGGAGTCAGCTATGTCAGGAAAGATGCAAGGGGAGGGGGAGGATAAAGAATAAGGGAAGGAGAACACCATTGTTACCTGGTCTCATAGAAAATGAGTGTGCTGAGGAATTCCCCAAAGCTGATGGTTGAGGGTCTGAGTAAGGCAAGAAGCCTGAAGCAGATGTCCATCAGTGTGAAAACACTCATAGATTGGAAATGGGATATAAACTGGGCTTAGCAGCCAGAAATTTGTGTGGGTTGTGAGAGGAGCTCTTAAGCAGAGAGGCATGCTATGGAAGAGTGAGAGGGCAACAAGAAAGCTGCTGGGTCTGGGTGGATGAATTTTTCATTAGCACAGTGGTCTCTCAGAGGAAGGAGCAGGACAGAGACTCACATGAGCAGATTTTTCTGCCACAATGTGCAGCAAGAATTATTCTTGTGCTCAGACTGACTTTAGCTTCTTGCTTTACACTCAGTCTCACATGAGTGTGAGATCCAAAGTCAGATCTCTAATTCTTGTGGTAGTGATTTGAGCACTAGAAGTGGAGCAATCTGGCTCAGTTTGGGTTCACAAAGAGCTAAGTTGTCTGTACATGGGGGAGGATTTTGGGAAAAACAATGATGGGCAGGCCCAGGATTGCAGTTGCTTTGGGGTGTGGAAATAACCTGATTTGAATTTTCTTTGTCAAGGACTCTCTCCAGCTAAGAGAGCACCTACCTCCTTGTTCCCATTTCCCACCAATTTTCCTATACTTTTGAAGTGGCCCTTCCTCACACAGTGTTTGTATAAGGCAAGGAAGACAAGCTCTGGCATCTCTCTTTCCACCTGCTTTTCTCTTTTCTGTCCAGCAGAAATTTGTGCATTCTTGACCCAGTGCAAGCCTGAGGGATATGGCTACAACAACCGTAAAAGAACATCTCCAGGAGTGCTTGATACTCACAAAATTCCTGAGTTTTCCTGGAAGTCTTTGCTGAGCACATCTGCTGCACTACAAGGAAGGGAGTTTTGTATTGCTATTGGTTATGTATAGGATCCTGCAACTGCTTGCTGTAAAAGCAGTCATGTCCCAGGCTTTTCTTTCTGTATGATATATGTTTCTCTAATAATTGCTTTCTTTTTTTGCTTTCCCAAGAATTCTGCCTTGTAAAAAATTAGAGAGAGCAACCCTATGAAGAGAGTTAGTATCAAATACAGACGACCTAATGCCTGACTGCCCAAACACAGCTCCTGTAGTCCAGTCAGTGCAGTATAACTCTGGGATCAGCATTTGCTCTATGTCATTCCAACTCTGTAATTTAATTCTTCAATGGCACTATTATTATGGCAAAAACATGTCCTTGATGGCCAAGCACCAGTGCATCAGCCAAGGTAAACATGCACGTGTCTATCTGTTGTGCCAGGGTCACCTGTAGGAACAACCATCACAAAAATTCCCATGCAGTCTAAATGGCTGCTGTTTCTCCT